AAAAAAAAAAAAAAACAAACAAAAAAACCTACATCAGTCCATCTTCTCAGTTCTCACTATTCGACCTCTCAGCAACTCAACTGTCTTAAAGTAGAAGAAAACGAAGCTATTCTCTTCATTCATGTCCGCCACACACACAGACACGCACGTATATGTGTGTGTAAATATTTGATGGAAAATCAAGCAATGTTCACCACTTTACTGCTCGGCACCATGTGATATCTGACATATTTCTTCCTTTACCTTTTTATTTTTTATTTTTTATTTTTCAAAAATTTCAAAATATTTGGGGTTCGATGAACACTGCTGGATCTGCGATTAGAAGAGAGGGAAAAATTTGTTGTGATTTTAGATTTTTTTATTTTTTATTTTTTATTTCTGAATTTGATTTGGAGTAATGGCGTCATCATCGTCTAGAGTAAGAAGCGGCTCGCCGTTTCATCACCGGAGACCTTCGAGCCCTTTCTCCTCCGCCTCGTCCTCGTCGTCAATGAAGACCGGCCGATTAATGCCGCGCTCGAACTCTACTTCCGGGGCGTCGTTCTACGGCGGCAGAGGCGGTGATTATTCTCGCAGCCGGACGCCGGTGAGTTATCCGGCGATGGACGGCCAACTAGCTGACGAGCCAATGGATAGTGCTTCGAGATCGGGGGATAGCATTTCAGTGACTATTAGGTTTCGACCTCTAAAGTGAGTTTCGACTTAATTATTTATATGCTTTTGGTTGATTTTTTTTTTTTTGGATTTTGGATCTTCTGAATTAGAGGAGGTTGAAGCTAGAGTTGTTAGTACGGGGAGGATTGTGAATTTGAGAGGAGTGATATTGAAGCTGTTTGCATTGTTCTTTTGTGTTGCAGTGACAGGGAATATAACAGAGGAGACGAGATCGCCTGGTATGCGGATGGTGACAAAACTGTGCGAAATGAATATAATCTGATGACTTCCTATGCATTTGGTAAGCTTCTATCACGTGTGCTCACCTGTTTTACGGTTTGAGGGAATGCTGTTTTTTACACCATTCGTACTTTCGATTTATTGGATTACAGATAAAGTGTTTGGGCCTAATACAAATACTCAAGATGTGTATGAAGTAGCTGCCCGACCTGTGGTGAAGGCTGCGATGGATGGTATTAATGGTACGAACACTTTGATATAGCGTTCGGACTGTGTTATTTCCTAAATAACTGCTCGAAAAATGCTCCAGTGTAGAGATCCTTGGAACAGTTACTTGCATTGCTGATTAGATTTACAAATTTTCAATCACAATTAAATTGCCATATGAATTGATGTGCAGGAACTGTATTTGCTTATGGAGTTACCAGCAGTGGAAAGACGCACACTATGCATGTAAGTTCATTTCTCATTATGGTGTTTCCTTAATTATTATTAATTTTTTCATTCATGGTTTGAATTAAAGCCAAAAGCGTTGAGTTAGTATATTGTTTCAGTGGTCTTAACATCTAAAAGTAATAAACCAGAATGTCTTAACAAATAATTTATATGTTAACATGATATGTTTTCCATGTGTATAATGTTCTTAATTCTTGTTAATGTCGTGTACCACTTGATTTTGTTTGCCCTATTTCTAGGCACCCAGGTTAGTGTAGGGATATCTCGTAAAATTGGAAGTTGTGTACTGTACATTGATGAATTATTTTGCCGTGGTAACATATCTCATCAGGGAGATCAAACTTCTCCTGGCATCATACCGTTGGCCATAAAGGATGTATTCAGCATAATCCAAGAAGTAAGTTTGTTGTTTCAAACTTCTATTATGTTTTGAGATTCAACAATTGGATAATTGATGTATCAATGACTGGTGTTACTTTTGCTTCAGACTCCAGGTCGTGAATTCTTACTTCGGGTCTCATATCTCGAAATCTACAATGAGGTAAGTAAGGGATGTTTTATGAATTGTTCTTTGTTTTTGTTTATTTAATAATCACTTGTGGCTTGAACGATTTATTTTTGAGCAATATGTACGGAAGTTTCTGCATTACGCGCTGCCCTTTAAATTTTAGCATTGTAGATTCAAGAACACAGTTAACTTCTATGTACCAATTTTCGACCACATAGCTGTCATTTAGCTGTCTTCATTCTTAACTCATACGTATGTCAGGACTTTATTCAGTTCTATTTATCCTTGTTACCAGGTGATTAATGACTTGCTGGATCCGACTGCCCAGAATTTGCGTGTTAGAGAGGACGCACAGGTTTTTTTCCTTTATCTTACTCCTCTTATCTCTGTCTTTTCTGTTTTTAAGTTTCTTGTGTTATCAGATTAGCTTTTAAGATGTCATCATTACATTAGCTGCACATTCATAACATGATTTTGGTCTATTCGAGTTTTGTTGAATTTTTCTCCTCTGCTGTCTAGTTGATAATGAAATGAATACAAAATAGTTCGTCATTTATATTTTTATTAACATTTTAATTATTGAAACAGTAAATTTACTAAATACTTATTGATCAAATGAACCGATCATTATGAAGTGAACTATATTACATTATTGAATCATAGCTCTTGGATGGAACTGATTCACATTCAAATTCTGAAGCGATGATTATCCAATTACAATATTCCGTAACTGAATTCATATCCAACAGCTGAGTCCACTAGATTCTCCTTTTTTTTTTTTTTGTTTGTCATCTCATTTTATTTGCCTTTGGCAATGTGCACAGGGAACTTATGTTGAGGGTATAAAGGAAGAAGTTGTTTTGTCACCTGGACATGCTCTTTCATTTATTGCTGCGGGAGAAGGTATCTGCCTTCATTCGTTGATTTAGCCCCGCACGCTGTCATTTTTTTTTTCTCGGATATTACTGAAGCTTGACACAGCTTCAGCTTTTCAACTTAACGAAAACACTTCTTGATGCTAAATAAGTTAAATATTATGATTTTTTGTTACTTTTTTGGATACAACTTTACGAAGTGCTGATATATTGACTTATTCAACTTCTTTAACTATAGAAGTGATAATTAATAATGTTAACATAATATAATATATGACATAATATGGATATTAATGGATATAAGAGGGGTATCACATTCAACACTCATTTGTTGACATAAGTACTGAATATTTGACATTCGTTTAAACACAATTTTCAGAGCATCGTCATGTCGGATCAAATAACTTTAACCTCTTCAGCAGCCGTAGTCACACGATATTTACGTTGGTAAGTTTGTTCGGTTGTCTTTTGTCTTTTATTATTTATTTGGCACTTCTACTACTGTGCTTTTTCCTTGGACTTCTCATGAGGACATTTTTATGCTATTGTATATGATTTCAAGATTCCGGTCCTTGTGTCCGTTACTTTTGCTGTTTGACAATAATTAGCCTTTACCTTACTTTTGTCTGCTCTCTCTATCCACGTTCTTCCATTTTCTGTTTTTCTATTCCTGGACTGCTCTTTTTTAATTTCCCACGATTGTAATTTATCTTGTTTGGTATAGATGATTGAAAGTAGTGCACATGGGGATGAATACGATGGAGTTATATTCTCACAGTTGGTACGTGTATTATCTATCATCTCGATGTGAAATATTGTCTTTTATCAGTAAGATGTAAAAATGTGTTGTGTCCCTATTTCGTAATTGAACTTCAGCATAAGTTTGGCTTTTTAACTTTTATTATAGAATCTGATCGATTTAGCTGGATCGGAAAGCTCAAAAACTGAAACGACTGGGTTAAGAAGAAAGGAAGGATCCTACATCAATAAAAGTCTTCTTACACTTGGAACTGTGAGTATATGTACTTCCCTTATACTCATCTTTGTTTCTAATCTGTCCTTATCTATTTCTTCCGTTGCATGTTATGTTTTTTGTTTGCCCAGTGAAAAATTATGCTGTTTTGCTGTACCTGTAACATAACATGGCATAACATAACATGGCAAACTGACTCACAGAAGCACATTGTTACTCACAAATCAGTGTGTCATTATGTCTTCTCTAGAATGTCTTTCAATACCTTCAACTGTTATGTCGTCTTGTTACACCGACATTTGGTTTCCTCAATATGAAGGTGATTGGGAAACTTAGTGAAGGGAAAGCATCACACATTCCTTACCGTGACTCAAAGCTTACTCGTCTTTTACAATCTTCACTTAGTGGGCATGGGCATGTTTCGGTAAGTATCAGAGTATTACTTTTACTTACAGTTTATTTATGTTCAAATCCCAAATTAAACTATTATTTATTGTTGTTGGTTTTGCTGCTCATTTGGTGTTCCTTTTTCATGGGACCTACTTAATTGTTGTATTACTTGACCTTCACTATTGCACTACTCTTAGAATTGTTTTTTCTTTTTTCTTTGGTACCAATGGCTTATTTTTAATTGTATGGTATGCTCCAGTAATATCAGCTTTATGATATTTTTAAAGGCTTCTAAATTGCAGTAAATATTTGACCAGCTTATATGTACGATCACTCCAGCATCAAGTAATTTGGAAGAAACCCATAACACATTGAAGTTTGCTAGCAGGGCGAAGCGTGTCGAAATATACGCTTCACGTAATAGGGTGAGTTTGACTGTGTTGAGCTTTGTGTTTGATTCATATTAAGTGTGGTGGTCACTGATAATTTAATCTATGTGAATCTAAATGTTTAGATAATTGATGAAAAGTCATTGATAAAGAAGTATCAACGAGAAATATCATCACTGAAAGAAGAACTTGATCAACTTAGGCGGGGAATGCTTGTTGGTGTCAATCATGAAGAAATTATGGTCTTGCGACAGAAGGTATCTTCACTTCGAGTTGATAAATCTTGGGAATTCATAGCTTTTTGGAATATAGCTATGTGATTTTGATGCATTTTTTTTTGTCAACTCATAATTAACCATTGTATTATGAAAACTTGGTGTATTGGTTGACTGCTTACCCATTCTATATAGTTGGAAGAAGGGCAAGTCAAAATGCAATCGAGACTGGAGGAGGAAGAAGAAGCTAAATCAGCTTTAATGAGCAGAATTCAGAGGCTTACAAAATTAATACTCGTGTCATCAAAGAACACATTACCAGGAAGCTTAAATGACATGCCCTCTCACCAGAAGAGTCTTTCTGCTTCTGAGGATGAAGTAAGTAGATTGCTCTGGTCGACTTAAATTTCTTTGCTCGTTTAGAAAACCTCACTTGCTTATTTTGCCTTTTACACAATGCAACGCATTGGACATTTTAATATAAATTGACAGCAAATTTACCCCTTCTTTCTTTATAAATCTGGTAAAATATATGCATCACGGTTTCATAGTTTCACATATACTGATTTTTCAAGTATTGAACCATGAAATTCTGGTAGAAATGTTAAGTAAATTTATCTTTGGACGTCCTACATATGTATCCTATAACTATATCTCTTACTGTTAGGTGATTAATGCCTTGACCTTCTGTATGTTGTAAAATGTATCTGGAAGAAGAAGTTATATGTGGTCTTCGTCTTCACGATTTTCATCTTCTTTTTCCCAACAGAAATTGGATGTTCTACGTGATGGTTCTCCTAAACATGAAGGCGATAATCAAAATGATTCTTCTTCTGCTATAACTATTGCATCAGATGCTTATCATTTTGAACATGGAGGATCATACAGCAAACGGAATGATGGTATTTCCCAAGATGGCAGTACTATAACTGGAACTACTCAAGTAGGTGAACTTTTTAGTGGTTCTTCCTGTGCATCATAACTGCCTATAATATGTTATAAATCATTTTCTTATGAAAAACCTGTCTGCTGCATTGCCTAATGTTACTATTATTATATGGACTCCGTCATATTTTCATCTTCTGACATCTACATTCAAGCTCTTAAAGTTCCTAATACAGGAAAATGGATTTAGATCTTCATTTATCTCCATGTGAATCCTTCGTATAACAAGAGCTTGGAGTTTTTTCAGATTTAGTGTTTTCCAAATAATACTTCAGTTCTTCAAATAGTTTCTTGTAGCACTTTATTTTTTGGCTATGATTGCCTTTTCTTTTGAAGCTGATGTACGTATTGCTGATTACATCTTTAACGTGTTAATTTCAGCTTTTGAATTCATGTTTGGAATTTGTTCTTTTGACTTTTTAGTTATTACCAATAGCCTCTTTTGGTACTTTTGTCATTGAATTGTAGGATGAGGTTACTATCTCAGATCATATGGACCTCTTGGTTGAGCAAGTGAAGTTGCTTTCTGGTGAGATTGCATTTGGTACCAGCACGCTAAAGCGCCTGTTGGAGCAGTCCGTGAATGATCCTGAAAGATCAAAAACTGAGGAGGTAAACTAAAAATTTCCTTTTATTAGTTTACAACCTTTTTCTGGCTCTTGGCCTCTAAATTTTGACCTTAAAGTGCCCTATAGCTTTTGCTGGCACTCTGTATGATCCCAAAAGTCAAACTCTCATTTGTCTGATCGCTGCTGTGTGTCCCATGTTCGACAAAATCACAAAATTTCCTCTAGATCTTTCTTATTATTACTAAATGCGAAGGGTTTTTTTCTTTTTCTTTATTTTGCTGTTCTGGAAATATTATTTTGATGTAGGACTCAATCTCTATTTAACACTAGTTTTGTGTCTCATGGAAGGAAACCAGAATTTGATTTTTTTTTCTTTTTTTGTTTTTTTTGTTTTTTATAAACCATGAGCAATTTGTATTCTAAAAGAAATTAGAAGTTCATTTTTACTTTTAGACGGCACATAACTTACTGGAATTACTGATAACAAGTTGTTGAACTTAAAGAGATATTACATCCAAATGTGTAGATACAGAACTTGGAGCGTGATATCCAAGAAAAACGAAAGCAGATGAGAGCTTTAGAACAGCGTATGGTTGAAGGGGGTGAAGCTTCAGTTGCTAATGCATCTTTAGTGGAATTGCAGCAGGTTTTCTAATTCAAAATGAATTTGTCACTGTTTCTTATTTGAAATTTGAAACTAGCCCAAGTATTAAATGTTGATTGTAATTTTTTCATGCAACAGACGGTCATGAAACTGAAAGCACAGTGCAGTGAGAAGGACTTTGAGCTTGAGGTTTTTTCTCTTCCTTTTTCGATTACAACTTTCGGCACATATTTGTGTCATTTTTAAGCATTACCTGACCTTTCTGCTAGTTGAACTGACTCTACTATTTACTTAGATTAAATCCGCAGATAATCGTGTGCTTCAAGAACAGCTTCAGAATAAGGTAAGCTTGTAACTAATTAATTTTTAAATAAAAGTAAAATCAACCTAATTTTGCCTGATTTGTCAAACAAGAGAAAAGGAATAGTGTTAAGATTCTGATGATGCCTTGTGCTTTATTATTCCCAGACGTGTGACATATTTCCATGCATATAAGGTGGTTATTCTTCTTTTTCTAATAGTGTGCAGAAAATAAGGAATTGGAAGAGAAAATTAACCGCCTGGAGCAACAACTAGCTTCTAGTAGTGACACCAAGTCATCTCCTGAAAATCATGTAAATGATGGATTTACTGGAGAATTGCGAAAGAAAATTCAATCACAGGTAAATCATTATCTTTATTATCCTTGAATAGCTAAAATTTGTGAAGTAGATATCAATACGTGAGGGAAACCTTAATTAATAACTTTATTCCGTAATTCTGGCCGTTATGCAATGCTATTACGACTCAACTTCCAGTGATGGCTCATTATGAGAAAATAATGTCTTTCTCAAGTTTTCAGGGCTATGTAACGGCATCGAAAAAATTGCACTCATTTCACCGGTATAACATGGCGATGTACATAATCTGTGACATATTTGTATGTTCTTGTTTTTATCCTTATTCCCAGGGATTCTTGATTTAATTTTTTCAATTGCATAATATGTAATATCAGAGCTTATCCTTACTGTTTGTTGCATGCAGTTATAATTTCTGTTGTCATCATATGATTTTGATTCGTTTAGGGTGTGTTTGTATATCGAAAAACTCAATCCAAACTTAATTCATATTTAAAATCTAACTCAACCTTAACCCAAATCCACTATCCTCAATATTATCAATATGTTTAAATAATAGTTTAAATAATACCAACTGATCATTCTTACACATCACATCAATTTTGATTTATTATTTACTTACATAATTTTAATTAATTGTCACTTCACGACATCTTTCTTCTAATTTTACCATCAAATCAACTTTAATTATTTTATTTTAAATATTATTTTAATATAAAATAAAAATCCCACAAACAATTAACCATATCACTTTTTTTCGAAATTAACTCCGATTAACAAAAAAAAAAAAACTCATTTCAAGCGGATATATTTGTATACAAACACACCCTTAGTACCCCGATAACACAAACAAGTTGTAGCTTTCGATATTTGGTACTTTACCCTGATTGAAAAATATTTTTCTGCACTGATAGGAACTTGAGAAGGAGAAGCTCAAACTGGAGCATATCCAGCTTGTCGAGGAAAATAGTGGATTACACGTACAGAATCAGAAGCTATCTGAGGAAGCTTCTTACGCCAAGGACCTAGCATCTGCAGCAGCCATCGAGCTAAAGAACTTAGCCGGTGAGGTCACCAAGCTTTCCTTTCACAATGCCAAATTAGAAAAAGAATTACAGGCTGCTCGGGAGTCGAGCTCTCGATCTTCCAGCAGTAATAACCGAAACCGTAAGAATAACCGAAATAGGCTTTCTGGCCGAGCAAATGACCTTTCGAGTGACTTTGAGTCTGATGACCTGAAAATGGAGCTGCAAGCTATGAAACAAAGGGAAGTTGCTCTAGAAGCTTCTTTAGCTGAGAAGGAGATTTTGGAGAATGAGTACAAAAAAAAGTTGGAGGAGTCAAAGAAAAGGGAGGCAGCCCTGGAGAATGACCTGGCGAATATGTGGGTGCTCGTTGCTCGGCTGAAGAAAGAAGTGACTGTTATGCAGGAAGCTAGGGATAATGGCAGGGTGAATGAAGATGCTGACCTGGCGAGTGATGTGAAGATTGGTGACCTGGACTGCATGGATCCGGTTATCGAAGATTGTACGAGTCGAGACAATCTGGATTCAGTTCCTATTGTGCCCCAAGAAGAACCTCTTGTTGTGCGCCTGAAAGTGAGTTATTGCAATTTTTGTTTGGTTTAATTTGCATTCTTACTTATTTTGTGTACGGTCTTTTAAACAAACTTATCTATTCAGGGAGTGTGTCCGAACATTCTTATTCCTTTCTCTCTTTTTTTTTTTTCTTTTCAAATGCTAAACTTCCACCTCAGGCTCTTGCATAATTTTAACTTGATTCTAAGGGTGTGTGGGTAAGGATACCTTTTTTTATGTTATTTCCTATTGTTCCCAAAGAACCTCTTGTTGTCAGCCTGAGAGAAGAAGTTTTTGCAAACAGTACATTAGTGTTATTGTGTTAAAAGATTTCCTAAAATTTGACTACAGGTAACTTTTGATCATTGACCAATTAAGATTTCTTACTGATGGCTAGTGTTACATCTCTTGCAGCCTTAAGCTGATATCCAAAAGTGTCGATAAATTGAAATTCTATATTTGTGCTAGTTTTTCTTATCAGTAAGAAGAGAGTAATGTTATTGAGGTCTTAACACATGATCTCATTGTTTTGAATTCATTTAGGCTCGAATGCAGGAGATGAAGGAGAAAGAATATAGATACACTGGAAATATAGATACAAATTCTCACATGTGTAAAGTGTGCTTTGAATCACCTACAGCCGCAATGCTTCTGCCATGTCGACATTTTAGCTGTAAGTAGTTATATTCCTGAACGAAATGCTTTTCTTCATTTTTCGAGCACAACTGACACAATATTATGTTGTTTCATTTTTGCAGTATGTAAAACATGTTCCCTTGCCTGCATGGAGTGTCCAATTTGCCGAACAAAGATCGCAGATCGGGTTTTTGCATTTACTTGACTTTGCATTTTATATGCACCCTTCTGAGATAAGGTGATCAAAAAAGGAAAGTTAGCATTTTATATGTTCCCTTTCCTTTTTCTTTGCATTATGTAAGCCCAACATTACATTATCCTTTACCATCCTCCCTTTGTATAAATCACCATAGCTCTCAGTCCTTCCATTCACCCATATCAAATTCTCAAAAAGTATAGTAAGTTCGAAAACAGAAATGTCACATTTTATAATATAATTTATATATGTATATGTATATATTATATTTAAATATTATGGGTCGACTCGTCTAATAGTTTGATTGTTTCAAAGTATAGTTTTGTGATATGTGTTTGCTAATGTACCTTGTCTTGGCTCGAACAAGCTGTGATTATTGTTATTTTGAGTAGGGTTGCAAACGAACCGTGCGGCTCGCGAGCGCTCGAGTCAAAGCTCGGCTCGAGTTTGACCGAACTCGAGTCGAGCTCGAGCGGCTCGAGCACGAACTCGAGTCGAGCTGAGTCCATATTTTGCTTTGTCGAGCGGTTCAAGATACATGTTAAATTACTAAAATACCCCTTATATACGTTAGCATAGGTCTTTAATGGTAATTTTACCTTTCCACTTAAAAATTTTTGAGCCGAGTTCGAGCATTTTGATTTCGAGTCCGCTCGAGCTATTGTAATTTTTTATCGAGTCGAGCTCGAGCTCGAGCAGCTAAAAAAAATCAATCCTGCTCGGTAAGACCAATGCTTGACTCGACTCAGCTCGTTTGTAGCCTTAATTTTGAGCCAAAGTTATTTAAACGATACGAGTTGCTCCTAAATCTACCTCGCCAGTTAAAATTTTCGGAGTTACTGCAAATTATATTATTTTTTGTAATTTGTTGTGATGTCATTTTTAGCAGAGTTGGAAAGTGGGTCTCACACGTTTATTTTTATTTTATTTTTTTATATTTTTTTAATTTCCCTTCAGGTTACGAGATTCCAAGCCTACATAGCACATTATCGGTAACCATGAAAGATATTATCCGTTTATTCAATTATACAATTATGAGATGGGTAGACTACAGATGGATTATTAGACTATTATAGTCTTACCTACTGAATAAATATCTTGCATTCTCGTTGGGAAGCATTAATCTTTAGACTTTAGATATGGCTTTTGCTAAATGACTTCAATATATGGGGAGTTTCTATACTCATTTTTTTAGCATATTAGAAGTTAACTTAAGTACTTTTTTCCTACCCAAGAGTGCTTGGATGAGATGGCTTGGGTCTCTTCTAGCTTAACCAGTGGTCTCGAGTTCGAGCCCTGGGAATGCAACAGTGTTAAAACTCTTGAGGGAGAGCTTTGCCGCCCTTGTGGTCCTACCCGATTCGATTTTGGATTAGTCGGTTCCCCTGTGTATCGGGAAACCGGAAGGTCCCTGTACCAAAAAAAATACTTTTTTTCCTTTTCCTTCCAAAATTTACTTCATTTAACAAATTAGTTTTGGAAGGTTTGAAACTTTTAGTAACAGAATATATATATTTACAATTGGATCAACACACAACAATAAGTGCTAAACAATGTGAAATTAGTGACATGCATTTGTTTGAGACTATTAGCGACACTTAGATTTTTTTAGATTCGAGACTTTTTGAGATTTTAAGAGTTAAAAAATAACATGAATTTTTAAGTCTGGATGTGAGATTTGAAGTGGTATTCTTTTGAAAATCTTACGAATCTTTAGAAGTCTTAATAATAACGGTCTCAAATAAGTTAACTAGCTCAGTATTTTATAAAATTTCTAATGAATACCTTGAGACTTTTCAAAAAGTTTATAGAAATTTTTAAAAAATCTCAAACGATTACAATTATGATTGAATTATGTTGCACTTACCCGATTATTACACACAACTGCAATTTCAATTTTTATTTATTTGTTGATTCAACGATAATAAAAAAACTGGCGATAATATATTTTATATCTGGATTAACGTATACTCGTACGAGTATGCTCATGTGTTGATTCAACAACAAAAATTATCGTACTTGGTTGAGTTTTTGGACTAATATCATCCATATGGATTAGTTATTGTAACGTCAAATAACTGTACTTTTTAACCACTATATCCCTAAACTTAGGGATGGCACTTGTTTGTAACTATTGCTTTACTGAATCAAACAATTTATATTGTGCTTATTAATTATTATTAATGTCACTATGCATTCGAGAAAACGAAAACGACATAAAGAAATATCCTTAATTTACCATTGCCGCAATTGCAAATTTCAGTAATGATGATGGCCTGTATTCAAAATTTTAATTTTTTAATCGAGCCCTAGAAATGCAGCAGTGTTAAAAACTCTTGAGGGAAAGCTTTGTCGCCCTCGTGGTCCTACCCGGCTCGATTCCGGATTTGTCGGTTCCCCTGTAGATCCGGAAACCGGAAGGTCCATGTACCAAAAAAAAATGTTATAAAAATTTAAAAAAAAATATTTTTTTTCTAGAATTTTTAATGATGATGGCCTGCATTTAATAAATAAATAAATAAATAAAATTGGTTAAAAAATTGTATATTCAAGAGTAAAATGTGCAAATAAATAATGATTACTATTCATAAGTTTGAAAGAAGGTCTATGCAGAGTGAAAGATTTTAGATCATTTTCTACAACGTAATAGTGATGTATTGAAGGAGAAGATTAGAAATATAAACATTAGTACTCATCATCTACCGACAAATATGTTATTATCTAAAAGAAAATGTATTTAGATGAGTGTGATGCATAACCATCTGGATACACATAATTTATCGGTTTTACTATGAAGCCAACAGTTGACTCTACAGTGGAGTCAACTTTCTATATACAACAAGTAGACCTACCATATTCACTGATTACTTAAAAACACTAATATAATATTATTAATATAGTAGGTTTACTTGTTGTATATAAAAGATTGACTCTACTATAGAGCCAACTGTTGGCTTCATATCGAAACCGCATAATTTATTTAAATAATTAGTACATTTAGAGAGGTATGACAAATCAAATAATAGAAAGATTATGACACGTCCCGTGATATTCTTGTGAGGTGTTTAATTTGTATTTAATAGCGTGGAATCTTAGCCATCCTAACAAATTATGGTATTTTAGGCATACAATTGGTTGAGTTGTTATATTTTTTTTTAAAAAAAATAATGTATTGTTATATTTTATAATTTATATATCCATATTGCTGAAAAATATCTCGTTGTTTGTATTATATTGCAAAGTTTTATTACAACTATGTACACTTCATAAAAAATATGGTCTTATACTTGGTTCACGATTAATTTTGTTTAACTATAATGGGCAGTTGATTCGCAATCATCCAATGTTAGGAGCGCTTATCTCCCTATTTTTTTCTTCTTTTTTATGTCGTATCTAACTCGATTTTCATCTGATTGTTTAATCTTAGTTTTTTT